TTTATTTATTTTAGATTGCTTGGAATGAGTTCAAAATGAGCTTTTTTTGGGGGAGCTTGAGTAAAATAAATGGGATAAATAAATAAATAAATCAGAATAAATAAAATGAAGAAATAAAATAAATTGAAGAAATAAAAGAAATAGAATAATAGAATAAATAGAATGAAATAAAATAAATTGAGTAAAATAAATGGATGAAATAAAATAAATTGAGTTTTGAGCGATTTTTGTGTGCCAGGAACAATAATTTATTGAAATTAATAATTTAATGGCACCACCCACATTTTAAGGAGGACAAACCACCTACACTGGTGCTGTTTAAACTGCCTAAAATTATTTGAGCAGATGTCACAGCACAAATATTTTCAATTCTTTGCCAGAATGTTGCTAAAGACACAAAACAGAACCGAACCCGATGTGTTTATTAACATTTAATTTTTAAAATATTTTTTTTACCCAGGCCAGAGGCAAGTTTTTGGTCTAAAAATCCCATTTTTTCTGACTTTGTGGAATTAGGATGGGCAGGTTCAGGTGTTCGTGAGCTTTGGGACTCAAGTTTTATTTCTATTTATTTTCTCACGCCCACCAACCACCTCCACAGCAAAAATCCTTTATTAAAACCAAGATTAAAGAGGAATAAAATCCTTAATCAAACCTGCAGAGCTCCCTCACATTTTGCCTCCCCCCCAAAAAAAAACAGGGTTAAAAGCAAATAAATGTCTCGGTTTTGAGCTTTTAGATTTATATTTCAACTCCCAAAATGTAACATTTGTCAAAATAGAACATTCAAGTGCAGCAACAGCAATTTTTTCAGTCGGGTTTGTTGGTATTTTTTTAATCTTGGACTGATTTGAGGAATTCTTGGAAGCTTGAGAGGTTTTGAAATGATAAATTTAGTTTATTTAGCAGGGCAATGAATGTTTTTGAGCTCCTTATTTTCACCCACACTAATTTAGTTGCACACAACTTAATTAGCAGGAATTAAACTTGACTTTCTAGCTGAGCTTAAGCCATTGGCAGATCTAAATATTTCAGTATCAAGTCTTACTCTTAGATTTTAGTCTTAGCCTTAGATCTTAGTCTTAAGCCAGATCAGGTCTTAAATATCACAGAGAGGGCGCATGGTGAACAAATAATTTCTCTCCTGTTTTAATTAGCTCTTAGTGCTTGATTTTTAAAGAAGAATTTTAAAAAAATGTAAATTTAAATTAAAAAAATCATCTGTAAATGTTACCAAAAAGCTCATTAGTGTCACAGAACCCCATGTTTATAAATTAGTGTGTGACAATGATTTAGGAAAGCTGAGCTTGATCATTTTTCCATGATAAAATAAAGATGAAAAATGCAAAGTATTGGAGGAAAAAAGCTGGAAATGTTGTTGAAATAGATAAATAAAAAGCCCAACCTATCACCGACCTGTTGCCACTAAGAACAGCTACAAAAAAACCAGGGAAATGTGTTCCTGGAGAAGTTTTATTTTCCCAACAAACCTTCCCACTCTCACAGAGCTGCTTGAAGGACCAAAAACTCCACTTATTTCTCAGCAGCGTTGAAATGAACCCTCTGAAATCAGATTCCAAGAGATCAAATCACAATGAAATCACATTTTTCAAGTATAAAAACATCACAGACACGACACAGAGATGATGGAAATATCAGGATGGAAATATATGGAACCAAGTCCTGAGAAAGAGCTTTAATTTTACTGTTAAATATTCAATTTATAGTTGTTCCCAAAGTGCTTCGTGTTTTGCTCAACGAAGAATTTAATTTAAAGTTTTAATTTCAACTCCTGTAGCACAGAGATGTTTCTTGATGGCTCAAAATCACTTTAATAGGTTATTTTACACACAAATCTTTTCAGGGAAAATAGAAATATATTCTAATTAATGGGTTTTTCTAATTAATGGGGGTTTTTTTTCTGTTATTTTCCACATATTTGGGATCATAAAACCATCCCAGAATCATTTAGGGTGGAAAAGATCTCCAGGATGGAGTCCAAGCTTTGCCTGAGCACTGAGTGCCACATCCAGACACTTCCTCTCAAATATTAAAAAAAAAAAATATATATATATAAAATCTTTATTTTTTCACTTGTGGAATTTTTGGGATTGAAATTGAAGTGCTGCATCTGCAATAAATGAATGTTTAGTAAGAAAAGTTAAACCAGTACCAAGAGGTGAGAATCTCTCAAGCTTAATTTGGTTTTCAACCCGAGCAAAACGTGGATAACCTCAAACACAAAAGGTGTGTCAGCCCAAAATCCAACTTTCCCACAATCCTTTAGGTTGGAAAAGACCTCTCAGATCATGGAATATCAAATAATCACCATAATTTCTGGATATTTGTCCATATAATGTTTTCCAGGCTTGAAGCTCAGCTGGAGATTCAACATTTCTCCATTTCCCAGCGATGAAAAATCCCTTTTTTGGGGGGGTGAGAGAGTCAAAGGAACAATGTAAACAGTTTCCATGGATCCAGGGGTGGGTGGAAAGGGATAAATAACAGTACATTTGGAATAGCTGGGAAAACAGGAATCTTGCAGTTGAAATCATGGCTTGGACATTAAAAAATTCCCCTAATTCTCGTGGATGTTACAGTACGCCCTGAAGTTTAAAATGTCATTTAAGTAGCTTATTTTTTTCCTGTACAGAATACATTGGCAGGAATTATAAATAAATAGTCACATTACAGGCATTTAAGCACGTATATACACATAATACTGTGGCAAACAGACACTTAAAAAATAAAAAAAAAAGTTAAAATCCAGGTAAATTTCCTTTAATCTCGTTAAATTCCTGGTTTGGAATAGGATCCCTTGGGAAAAGCACATTGCCTGGCAGTACCTAAACATGCATTAGGATGACCACATGCTATAATAAATTAATTTTTCCCTAATTTCACTTTGTTTTTTGGAGGAAGTCAAAGATTCCCTCAAATTTTCACTTCTCTTAATCCTCAATAATTTAATCAAAATGAGAATAAAAAATAAAAGAAAAACAACAAAAAAACCAATACTTGATTCCTTTGGTATGAATTGCTAATTTTGTTGTGAAAATAAAGATATTGGCACCTTTTTTGTTTGTTTTTTTCCTTTGTGTTTTGCTTCTTCCTGCGGGTGGGAACAGAAACGGTGTGAAAGTGCAGAGTGCAACAAACAGTAAAACTGGTCATTAAGGATGTCCCTCAGGAAAAAAAAGGACACTTCCAAGAGAAAGAAATGTAACATTTTTACACAGAAAAGCAAAAACTCTGAAAGAGCTGCAGCTGACAGAGCTCACTGGGAGTTGGAAAAAATACCTGTGGGTGTTATATATTATATATATATATATTATATATGTTTGAATTCCAGGCTCAACTAAAGGTCTGGAGATGAATAATGCTGTGGAATTGTTTGTCTGCCAGCACTGACTGTTAAAATCTGCATCTGATGCTGGGCCAGGTCCAAGAATTATTTCAGTGTAGTCACAACTCAGGGACATAAATCCCATTTATGGATGGGTCATTTCAGACCTCCTGTAAAATTATTTTGAGTTCCTTTACAAGGTGCTTGTTGGAGAGGAGGAGGGAATTCACCCAGTCCAGCTCTGGGCATCTCAATGTGACTCTTTACACTGAAAAGAGAGAGAAGGTTCTCAAACAGGAATTTGCAGGGTGGAGAAACCCTTTTCTCTTGACTGCACAGTTTATTTCTTTTAGCTGAGGGCAATTTTGCTTGAACTTCCACTGCTAATTTAGATGAGAACTAATCCAGAGCAATATAAATCTGAATTCTACAATGCCTTGCAGCAGCCAGTGAGATATTTACTGCTAGAAGGGAAATGTTTCCTCACACACAGTGTGAGAACCAACCCCTGAAGGCTTTGCAGAACTGTTTGCCCCCCAAAAAAGGGAATATATTCTCTACCTGCCAAATACCAAACTCACCCACCTTTCTAAACGCTCTGGAGCTGCCAGATTTAATTTAGAATAATTTATGTACATGTTGACTTGAAAACAGCAAAAAAGCTTAGAGACAAGTTACACAGAAGGTCTAATAAACTCCATTCCTTGCCAGGAACACTCTCCCTTCCCCCAGCACAGGTATCCCAGGTCAAACTGGTCCCTTTTCCTGCCCGTGCCAACAACCAGCCCTGTTCCCTCTGCAACAGCAGCTGATTTGCAGCTCCTTCACTCTTCCCAAACTGACACTTCTTCCTGGCCAGGAAACAGCAGCAGGCTCTGTTTTCACAACCTTATCAACAGCACAAAGGCCTGTCATTGATCTTTAGCAAATAAATCTTGGGAAGATCTCCCAGCAACTTTTCTCTCCTCGTATTTTCTCTACTATCCATATTTAGCAACCTTCAATCCTGTCACAGGAGCCTTTCCATGCTTTCTGTCACCTATTCCCGTGTTTTCTTTGAAACATCTCTACCTCATGCCACGTCAGCAGCTCTCGGGGAGTTTCAGGGTTTCATTGACATAATGAGTCGTGCAAAATCTCCTTTTTTTTTTTTTTAAGAGTAATTCGTAACCCCTGGTTACTGGGATTCTCCCCAGGTAACAGTAACCAAGCTGCGAGTCCATCAGCGCCCTTTTCCTCAGGCTTTTCACGGGATGCCATCCTTCCTCTGGCAGCACTGCGAGGGGGGCACCCCCCAGTCGTACATGTAGGAAAGCCTGAGCTTCACCTCCTCCTTACAGAGCTTCCCCTCCTTAGCCAGGGTCTGGTGCTTCTCCAGCATGTCCTCGATGCTCTGCTTGTGAGTCACTATGTACTTATTGTTGCAGCCCCGCGACTTGTACTCGGTGTCGAAGCGGGGGTCGTGCACCCTCTTCACGTCGATGGGCGCCAGCCAGACCCCCAGGGACACGTCCTCGCTCTGCCACATGTTCAGGTAGTCGCTGCTGAGCCGCAGGTACCGCACCAGGTCGGCGGAGATGACATAGCCACCACCCAGTGCGTAGGGCAGGTAATAGTCACACAGCACCCAGGCGCTCTCCTTCCACTTCCCCCCCGACTTCACCCGGCCCCGGCCCGAGAAGAAGCCCCAGTAGAGCCGCCGCGGCTCCTTGGCTTTGAGCTCCTCCACCAGCACGTCCAGGCGCACGAAGGTGTCGTCGTCAGCCTTGAGGGCGAACTGGAAGTCCAGGTGCAGGTCGAGCCACACGTAGGTGGCCAGCACCTTGGCCGTCAGGTTCTCGTAGGAGTCGCGCAGCTCCGGCAGCAGCAGCAGGTCGCGGTGCCGGCTCTGCTCCAGCTCCAGGCTCCGCAGCTCCTCCTGCCCGAGCCCGGCCGTGCCCACCACGAAGCGGCTCCACACGCGGCCGCGCTGGGAGCGCCCTCCCGCCGCCATCCAGGTGCTGCGGATGATGCTGCGCCGCTCGCTGTACTTGGGGCCGCTCATCACCACCACGGCCACCAGGGCGCTGCCCTCGGCGCGGGGGGCGGCGGCGGCGGCGGCGGCGGCGGCCGGGGCGCCGCCGCGGCCCGGCTGGCTGCGGCCGCGTGTGGCGGCGCTGCGCGGGCAGCGGGCGCCGCCCCGCGGAGGGGCCCTTGGTTTTTTTTTTTTTTTTTTTTTGCCGGCACCGCGACCTGCTGCTGCTGCCGGAGCTGCGCGACTCCTAC